ACCGCTTAGCGAAATCCTCATATTGTTCCTCGGTAAGCGGACGTGATGCTACAACCAGTGTTCGCAAACCTTCCCGAGCCAAATTCCCAGCTTCATCATCCAACCAATCGGTATAGGATACCAGAGTTTTCATGACCGTATCCGCACCCTTCACATAGAATGTGATCTTTCGTGTTGTTCGGTCCCGCAAGATAATACCCATGCGTTTCGATTCGGAGGAGAACGGAAACAAGTTGAGAATCTCGTACGTGCATACATTTCCTAAGAGTGGAATTGAAGAAACAGGAAACATATATAACAGACGGATGTCGGAGTACATGTGTGATGTACTGCGATCTATCGTTAGAGTAGTCTAGTCAATTTTCACAGGATTGTTCGTTCACCACGGTGACTAAGACGAGACACAAATAGCATTAACCACCGGAAGCCATACAAAAAACAGAATCAAACGATAAACTGCAGAATATGCCTATATATACATGTATAAAATATATTTTTGAAGTAGATACTTGGGTGCATATGGGATTTCGGGAATCGAGCGAGAGACATCACATGGGAAACCTGCATTCAAAATAAAACTACTGGCGAGGACGTGGGACCGACAACACAGGAACAGACTCGAAATGAGCAAAGTTAAACCGCATCAGTGGGCACTGAAAACACCATTGGGAATAAACATGAACAATAGACCTATCAAGACAGTGTAAATAGTGGTAACCAACGCAGTAAACCCGATAGAATGACGATCCAAAAACGCGTGCAATCACGCAGCTTATTGAATGTAATCACTAACAGGTGGGAGACTATGGTAAACAACTATGCGCTGATGTGTGCGGGTACCAGCGACGCGTAGACTAACCCACCCACACATACACGCAGCCAAACAGATAGATATGGGACCGCTAACCAAGGTCACGAGTGCAAATCAAATGAACTAGACAACCAAGTACTCAAAGTGGTCTGTTGGAATAATTTATGTAATCGGTGCGCTCAGATCGATAGCTACTAATACGTTGCCTGCGATTAACGAAATAACAGCCATTTAGGGTATGAAAGAAGTACGCATATCGAGTTAATCATTTTTAGACCGAAGATAAAGAAATACTCCAGAAGGAAGGAGTGAATTACAAATTGCGAAAGGAAAATTCCCACTACCATCATCTCAACCGAAAAAAAAGTGATTCCAATCCGAATGATTCTCTGTCCGAAAACAAATTACAAGTCTAGTTGTGATTCTTTTGGAGAAAGGGAAAGGTTATTTTGCTGCCAAACACTGTGTACTGAAACTCACGGAAGATCCATCTGTGCTAAACCCTGTGGGACTAGAAAAGCAACCGCTTGTAAGTATTTCCCATATCAAAACTTTGACTTTGGCACTTTTCCAAAACATGATATATCCAGTAACATTTCGGTTACGAATGCAAAAGTATGTAACTGTAGTTGTTTTGCTACAGTTTGGACTTTAATTGATCCGGATTGGAAAAATAAATGATTTCAAATCCGCTGTGAAAATACTTTGGTTTGCGGATATCATAAAAAGAATAAGAAATTTGTCAACACATAACAGTAAAATGGAATGATCACTATCGTAATCTTTTCGATTAAAGTGATTATGTCACGATAATTATGTGATGGGAGTCTATCAAGTATAAACCTGCTAGCACACCGAATTCAGATTACTAGGCTTCACTGGCTAGTGCATGTATTGCGTATGTCCAGCTACGTCTGCCGCACCGCGTTTTATTCGCTGTGGCTACTCCGGGCTGGAGGAAATCACTTGGAGTTTAACAGATGACGTGGAGACGAGGCATGAAGAAATGCACAGAACCACCAGGTAGAGCTTTCTCTCGCCTCCCCGGTTGGGGTCCGAAAGACTCCACAACCGTTTGGTTGGACATTCAAGGATATGGCAGCGAACCGGCAGCAGTAGCGTTCTTGTTGTCATTTTTTGTCAGGTCAGAATGCTTGAAACGGTATGTATGCATAGTTCGATTGCGTACTCTGTGTGTTGACCATAGTGGTTCACCTTCTTCTACCTCCCTCAGAATAGATCCAATCCCTGTCCACCTTAAATTTTACCACTAATCTTGTATGCATTGCGAGTTTGGCAGCGATCAGTGAAGTTCGCTTCACTGTATTTCGCTGTACGATGATGATGACGTCAGGATCATTTCGTTGAGGACACTGAACGCTGCCAGAAGTGCTTCAGTAATTCCGTATTATGTGCCTTTAGATCGGCCGGCCACACCCCAATCCCGAACGGTGAGTGTACAATTGTATGTTTATTCAAATTAG